TTTTAGCTGGCAGTCTTCCCAAAGACGGTTCCATTAGCAGAGGAAAAGTCGCTGTTTTTAGTATTTTTGTTGAATTTGACAAAATGAGATTCTCTTGAATAATTAGGATCAAGGAAATTTTATTTTTTCGTCAAATTTCATCCGTCAATTATTATCGTTTATCAAGCATCCTGGTCACATTAGAGAGGTTTTTTCTGCTTATGGACTGAGAAAAATCGGTCACTGCCGAGAGTAGAGAGGTGCTCACATTAGAGAGGCTTATCTACAGCTAAATTAGCTCCGTCGGATCCAGGCCCGTAGCCAGCGGGGTGCCCATTGTGCGGGAGCATACCCCATAGTAAAAATTGCTATTTAACTGCTATGAAAACAATCACATTTGATTTCTAAAAGAAATCACTGGCGAGATAAGGTTCAAGCTTTCACCTCTTCTCAAAAGACTTTATTAAGAATGACAAGTGAGAAGGTAAAGAAAAAGCTACTTCGGTTGCTTAAATGAGTTGTGGCAAGAGATATCTACATTATTTTCGCACGCTTCATTGTTAAAGGTCTTTTTGCGTCCTGTTAATTTTCTGGACCGGTCGTTGTCGTACAGTCGGCTATACTGGAATTAGAACCGGTAGAACCAAAAAATAAAATACAAGAAAACTGGTATATTGATTTACATCTGTAGTGCACACCCCTTAGCAAAATCCTGGCTACGGGCCTGATCGGACTGCAGACTGCCCACTATGAAGAGATGCCTACATAGGGAGATTTTACTGTATATCTGTTTTTCTTCTAGAACAGCAACACGTCCATCCACTGGAAAAGCAATGAAACTTGGTACAAAAGGCAAAAATGTTGAATCATTTGTTGATCAACTCAAATCAGAAGGAGAAGTAATAGGAAGCGCAACGGCAACAGCAACCCAAACTAAAACGAAACAACAAAGTCAAGCATTACCTACTGTTCAAAAAGACGAGTAAGTCAAAATTATTTTCGCTAGTTTTCCAGTAACCGCTTTGTGTTCATCAGTAACATTTTAAAAATGATAAAGATGGTTTGATCTAATAGATGGTCGCTGGATAAATGTGACGGTAATTCCGAAAGTAGGTGAAAGTGTATTAGTCTTTCACACACCCATTTACCAAATTATATTTCTCACTGTTTTGATTTCAAAAACCGAACTTTTTTCCCCATCTAGAATACATATAAAACAAGAAGAAAAATTAACTGTGCGTTGTGGTCGCGATGGGGGTGTAGAAAATCTAGAAATTCATGGTATGTTCATGTTACGTATAAAATCAGAAGAACATGGAAGAATATTTGTCGCAATTCAAAATAATGAAGCAAGAAATATACAACTTCAAGTATGTCCTTTAAGATAGAGTGTTTCAGTCAGAAGATATTGTGACAAATTTTTTGAATATTTCTACTATTACATTCTTAAAAATAATTGACACTTAAGATTTTATTTATTACAGACTCATCCAAATATTGATAAGAAATTATTTGTCAGTGACTCAGTGATCGGTTTAAAAAATCCAGAAAAACCCTTTCCCGCAAACCAAGAAGTTGGTGTACTAAAATGGCGTTATCAATCAACAGATGCAAAAGAAATTCCATTAACGAGTAAGACATCTGTTTATCTAGGGAGAAATAACATTTTTTATTCTCTTTAATTTTTCTTCTTAAAAGTTAATTGTTGGCCAAATGAAACATCCAGTGGAGGATGTGATGTTAACATTGAATATGAACTACAGAACACAAATCTAGTATTAAAAGACGTCATCATTTACGTTCCGCTCCCGTAAGTTAAGAAATAGTTTAAGTATTGTATATGCCGTACTTAAACTATTCAAGCTAAGTTTACCAAGCTACTTATTCGTCCTATTTCATTTAGTTCGGGGGGTCAAACTCCTGTTATTGGAAGAATTGATGGCGATTATAGTTTTGATAATCGAAAAACTTGTCTTTTATGGTCATTACCTGTTATTGATCAATCAAATTCAGAAGGAACATTAGAATTTTCTGTGCGTGGCAAAACAGCTGATTTTTTCCCAGTTAAAGTTGAATTTGTATCCGAAACACCATTTTTTGATATCAAGGTATGTATTGCTTACCTATTTGTGAAACATGCTGCAGGGTTCGGTGAGTCCAAGAGGCGTTGAATACGAGTCTGGAGTCCATCTTGATTCTAGTCATTTTTCAACGGCTTTTTACAATACAAAGCCCAAGTCCGAGTTCAGATTCGAATTCTAAGAAGTTTCCGTGCCAGGCTCGGACATGACATACCAGACATGACGGGATAATTTTTCAAATAGAAAATCTAGAAAGTTGATTGATTATAATGCTTTTTTTTCTATTCGAAACTTATTTTTCGATAAATATTTCTAAATTAAGTGATACTTTTTTGTTTTTTATAGATTGCTGGTGTTAAATCTGTTGACACTCGTGAATCCGTTCCTTATTCAAGTGAAACAAGCTTGGTTGTTGAAAAATATGAATATGTTTAAAAATTTGTGTCTACCAATATCTAGCCAATTTAACTCTTAGTATTTTTTTGTTTGTTTATGATGCGGTAAACTTAAGATCAGAGGATAGTTTCTCTCTTTGAATATTTAATTCGTTATGAATAAAAGAAATTTGCAGAAAAAAGAAAACGAGACTTGTTTATGTCTCTCGTAACGTACTGTCTGTTTTATTATTTAAATTTTCTCATGTTTTTTCTCTTGTCATTATTCTATTTGGTTTGTTATTCGTTTATTATATACATGTAAAAAACCGTTATCATCATTTTTATTTTTCTCTATTAATGTAAAACACTTTTTTCTGAGGGATATTTTTAGTAAATTCTTAAAAAATATCTGAAAATTAAATTGGATTACATGTATAAAAAGAGTGTTTTACGAGTTGCCCGTTAGAATATTATACTATTATAAAACAAAATCTTGTTTTCAATTGATGACCATAATTGACAAAACAAATAAAAGTCTAAACAATTATTTATTTATTTTTGTTTCATTTTGACCGTGAATAACTCAGAATTTTAGGTGCAAGATCTGGATGATACAATACTGAAATATTGATTAAAAATCTGTGAATGTTTCGTCGACTATTTAACAGAAATCAACAGTTACATTTATTGTAATTACAATCAAATGGATTTTTGATGATGGTAAAATATTATCGAATAAAATTTTCGTCTGTTAATACAGATAATTTGTTATTATAAATGCAAAATTAAACTCGTTTTTACCTTTAAAAATTTAACAGTAAATAGTAAATGTTTCGTTTTCATCTTTTCGACCAAAAACTTTTTATTATTATTTTATTTTTCCTAAAAATAGTTGTTAAATTTGTTTGATCCCAGAAGAGATAATAAATTTTATTAGTAATCAAGAACGGAAAAAAAACTTAAATTTTGCATTTTCAAAAGAGATAATATAGAATGAAATAGTGTACAAACGTGTTGTTTCAAAATGAGTAAATTCATCAACGCGCTTCAACATCAGCAAGACAATTATATAAATATGAAATCAGTAAACAGCAAAGCATGTCATTTTCTACTGTCAAACTAAAATGAATTTTGGAAAAGTTATAATGTCTACTACACAGCAAAGAAAATCTTGCGCTGTATTTTAACATTTTTCTTTTCGTTAAGTTCATGAAAATAAAGATTCAACTATTTTATTTAAATGTACAATAAACAAATATTCAGCATAAATAACAATTGATCCCAACAACAATGTTATTCGTACAAGCGGTGTTCATAATCATATGGTTAAAATTGATAAAGAAACTAAAAATATTGATTCGGATTGATTTTGATTTTGTGATGAGAATAATATTTTTCATTCTATATTATCTCTTTTGAAACGCAAAATTTTAGTTTTTTTTCGTTCTTAATTGCTAATCAAATTTATTATGACTTTTAGAATTACAAAATTTTTCATATTTTTCGTTCTATTATCTCTTTTAGGAATAAAACATTTCTTTTGGACTCCAGCCGTTAAATTTTAACATAAGTTTTTTCTTTTACAAAAAACCTACAAGTAATACTGCATATGTTATCGTCATTGTCTATCTTGTTGCACTGAAATTCAAGCACTGAATTGAAAGGGATCATTTGTCATATGTGACTAAAAAAGGTAGGGTGATCAGTACAGAATATTATTTAAATAATAGTCTTTATGTACTATCTACGGTCTAATTTTCTTAGATCGTGACAGACAAACTCTATCGATGATATTGTTGTAGTGAGGCAATGTATGTAAACATACTAGAACAATTTGCTCGACTTTTGCAGATTTTCTAACTTTTTTTTAAAAAGGATTACAATTTACCGTTGGAGAGATCATTTTTTCTGTATAGTTGATCTTTCTGTAATGTATTTTTTTCTCTAACGAGATCATATTTTCAAACCTTAATTTATGCAAACGTAAATAAATTCCCTGTTCTATTGACAATCTGTTTTTCTTATTTAAAACTCAAATTCACATATAACATGTCAATATTTATCTCGAAAGTTACCGAGTCAAGAAAACAAAACTTTTAGTCGTTAACTTTTCTTTATCTAAAACATATTTTCGTCGTTCATCAACTTAGTACGGTTGAAATGGCAAACAAACATGTTTTTAAAAGAGAATTCAAAAAAGTTAGCCCTATTTTTGTCTTCGAACTTTAATCAAACAATAATCTTCACTATATATCTTTCGTTATTATACTCAAATATAATAAATACCAGTAGAACCAGTTACCATCTTCCTCTCTTTCTCTATATTTAACTAAATGGTAATGTTTCCTTGATGTAGACATCTAACACCTACCAAAAAGGAATTCATTCACAAGTAAATAAATTGTAAATTATCGTTCATATTATATTCACTCATTAAGAAGAAAAAAACTGGAAAATTTTTTGTTTGTCTATCAAAAAAGAAATGATGTGTAATTATCCTTTTTTAACTTTAATACATAAATATATTTACGTATTAGATAGGCGTTGATCTTTCTTATTTCACGTTCTTTTTTTTCTAGTTGAATGGATCTTATCCTATTAGTTATATTTGTCAGATATTTTTTGATTAACGTTTTGATCAATGTATTTTTTTGCGATGTTACACTTTTAGTTTAACGTTTCCGATTGCAGAATACAAACTAGACAGAAAAAAATAAAATAGTATAGCTTGATTTTTTTTCTTCTTTAATTGTTCAATATCGATTGTAGAAGACTGTGTTAGTATCTCTGTTTGATATTTTTCATTAGTAATCATTAGAAATACATTTTTTATCTAATAAAAAGTAGTAGAATTTGTATCAGTTTCAGAATATACAGGAGTGGTTGCTAAACAAATAATTATGTCAATAATCAAATTTTTCTCCATTTTACTATTATCAATATGTTGTACGTATATTGTCAATGCTCGTCCAAGAAGATTTTTTTCACCATTAATGCCCTTACTTACTGGTGATTTTTATGATGATAATATGAAAAATGTAGACTACTATAAACGTCATGCAGGCAAGTATTACAAGTTAATATGTTTACGAGTATTTTTGTTGATTCTTATGAGTTTAGACAAACTAATATTTTTAAGATTCTATAATTGCTTGATGAAATTTTTGATTTTGTAATTAATTTGAAAACAGTCAGCAATTGAATATTCAAATTAAAATCTAAGAATGAAGAATATGTGGAACTTTGAATGTAAAGCAAATTATTAAAGCTCTAAAACTCTGGTATTCAATTGACATGTTCTCTTTATTATCGATAGCGATTATAATTTTATTAACCTATGTCTTTGATAAATGATTTTATACCGTTTGTGGTTTCCATCTTATTCTAGGATGGGGCAAACGAAATGCATATTCTCAGTACGACGAACTACCAGATCATCATGAATTCAAGCATCCTTTTCTTAACAATGAAAAAAGTTTATATGGTTCAACGAACACTTGGCTAGATGATTGATAGGTGATCATGTTTATTGTGGTTATAATTTTGTCTGTTAATAAAATCAACAACATTTATGAAAAGAATTCTACTCTCTTCTCTTTTCACCAAATATTTTATCTCAGACGTTGTGTTGCACCTTACAGTTTTCATGTACTGGTAATAAAGTGTTGTAAACCAGCAGTTTTTTGACATATAAACGAACATATTGATGAATAAAAAATATTTAATCCAAATTTGTTTGTCAAGGACGAACTTTAGGAAATAGAAGTATAAAAAAACAACCAATACAAGACTATTTTTATACCCAAGAGTGTATGTCTTCTTCAAAAACAATAAAATTTGAAAATTATAGTTTTCTCTTACCTTTTACACCATAATAGTTATGAATTTTGGCTATAATGCGAGTATAAAAAGGTAATTAGAGTTATTAGACGACCAAGCTCTATTCTGCGCATAAAAGATTTTTATTATTATTGCGACATAAAATAATAGTTTTGTTTTTATTTATAGTACAAATGCCATCAACTTAAATTACTATATGACATACATAAAATAAATGCAAAATTCTCTGAGAAAACTTTAAAACTATCAAAGATGTCAATTCCGTTTTTATTAACTGTCTAGTCTCGCTTGCATTCTTGTTTTTGTTTCCTAAAAGATTAACAACTCATAAGTTGTTTTTTTGTAATTAAAAACAAAAGCAAGAAAACAAAATATTCCACCGGATTTTTATCTATTTATTTTCTAATTTGGAAACATCCACGTTTTTCATTTGAATAATATTGACGAATACACATACATACACACTCTCTGTTAATATCCTCTCAATAATTTCATCAGTCGTTTATGATAATATTTTGGTTCTATTTTGAAGTTCACAAATGACCGTACGCTTCTTGTATGAGGTATTAAATGTTTCACATCGACTGATAATAATTTATCATCATCACCATCGATGATGCTAGTCCATTCACCGTCATCTTGCCTTGTATCACTACATAGCAAAAGCCATATAGATTTGTCTTCGTCGGATAATAGCCTGTTGTGGGGTACTATACAATCAACTGAGTCTCTATTGTTCGTACTCTCCGGATCTAGATCGATACTTCTTTTACCCGGATTGGGATAAGGTGGCCGATTGACTGGCAAATCTTTCTTAATGACATACCATTGACCGTTGACTGTCATGGATAGTAAAACAGCAAAGCAGAAGAATAGTAATGTTAAATAATTGGAAGTATGATACATTCTGGTAGACAAATAGAATATCTTAAATAAAAGTTAGATATCATTGCATAAAGTTGGAGACATTAGTTTAGAACACTTCTATTTTCGACTTTTTCCATCGACGGTAATAGCTGGAGGCAACTTGAAAAAGAAAGAGTTGTATATCAGGAGAGGTGTGTGTGTGGGTGTGCGAAAACTTCATTAAAATGTGTAGATATAGGATCTCTGAAAACCAAGACCCCAAAACCAGATCTCTGGATTTAATCAGAAATGTTTTCCAAACAACATAGTCTTTTAGAGCAAATATTTCTGAGCAAAACGAGACGTCTTCGA